AGAAAGATTTCAAGTTTGGTTATTAAATAAGAGAGCATAAATTTTTTTAGTGTCAAATAGAAAATTTTATCTTAATAATTCTAATGTTATTTGGAATGTTATCTTGTAATAGTGTCATTTATATATATATCTTACTATACATTATTTTTGTGGAATAATTATAGCTGCTATAAACACTATTTAGTACTCCCTCCATTCTAAATTATAAATCATTCTGATTTTTATAGACATATTACTATTGCGATATACCTAGATATACACTAAAAAGAGATAGAATGAATTATAGTTTAAAATAGAGGGAGTAATTTAAGAAAACGCGGGTAAATTAGAACAACAACAAACTACAACTTTTTCTTAGCTATTCCTAGCATGAGGCTCAACTAATAACCAATTATGATAAAAAATAATATGTTTTTATCTATAAGCTAGAAATTATAATTAATTATTGGAATGAAAAAAAATATTATAGTTGAACAATATGAATATATGATATCCAAACTAGATACGGATCTATGAATATATGATATCCAAACTAGATACGGATCCGAACGATCCAATCATTCATATTCAAGGATATTTGGATCTATATTTATATTTATTTTGAATTATATGGATATAAATATCGAATGTGTGATGTCCAATTCGATAGCTAGGGACAATGTCAGGGGCACTAGGACCTAACGGTGACCATTTATCTTAAATCGTGAGTGGTCCTAGAGCTAACAAGCGCGACATCACGACGTTCCATGTAGGGCAAGTAATGACAATGAGCAAAGAAATAGTTGAAGGATTAAAATGCACTTTGCTATTCACAGGTAAAATTGAATTCAAAATATAAAGTTCAAGGACTAATACGAGGTGAAACTGAATTCAAAATATAAAGTTTAACTAAAACGGCCACTTTGATAGTTTTTAGATGAATATGAGCCCCAAAAAGTCTAGTATACTTATTATATTTTGATATCTCATTACATCATTTATTTCTAAAATTCATTACATGGATATTTACATATAACAAAGTTAAATGGGTACTTAGATGCGAATCCATACGAGAACTATATGTATGTGCCCGTGTGTCGCACGGAGTCATAAATTTTGTTTGTACATAAAGCCCGACGAGAAATTCTTGCCTCGGCTCATGAACGCCACGGCCGATCAACGCCACACCGAACGATGAGCTCTTCTTCTCTATTGCCAACCACATGCTCACCGTCACCGACGTCGACGCGTTCTATGTCAAGCCCGATGTACCCTGGCGCGAGCTACTACATGAAGGTGTGGTGGTACACAGACCTTGAGTACGAGCTGGACCCCAACCCCTTCGGCTCTTCATCTGCAGCCCAGAACAACCTCCCAGTCTTCTCCGTGCCGATCTTGCCGCAGATCAAACCACGAAGCTCCGCAGCCTCGCGAGATCGAAATACGTGGCCACCGCGCAGCGGAACATCGCAGGGCTCAGCACGCACGCGTGCGCTGTCAACGGTACCTGCCAGGGCCCGAGTGGGTCCAGTTCGCGGCGTCCATCAACAACATCTTGTTCGTGTGCTGCTGGCGCACTTCACCATTCATGGTCACGAGTAATCACGATTTTGAGGGAGGGTTCAGGGGCAAACTTGATCGGTGACACGTTAGCCAACCACCAGTACCTACGTCAAAAGAACCAACCGTGAAAAGAACTTGGACAATTGCATGTGCGAAGCCGTCTGCGCCCGCGCACGATTGGACGAAAGGCCACGGGCACGGTGTCGGTGTGTTTCGAACTGGTACCCAGATGTGGCCCAGCGGTTGCTGCTTTTCCGAATCTGGGAAAGATACGGAGGCGCGTGCACCAGTTTTTTTTTTTTTTTTTTTTGACGAAAGTCCTCCGTATTTTTTAGGCTCACGCGGCACGCCGACGGTCACACGTATGCGTGTCCACATCTAACAAAACATGTTTTGGACGCTAATGCCCCTCAACTCCTGGTTTACTGTACGCGCACGCCTCCCCCATTAACCACGACCCTTCGGTAGCCTTCGGTCTCGATGCGCTAACCACTCAGGTTGTAAACTTTGTTGTAATACCCGCAACCCTATTTAATATGGAAAAACAGGGAAACATGCACCATAATTAATTGCTCCTTGGTATGCTAAATCCTGTTCAGAACGACCTTAATTACCAGTATGGAGAGAGTAGTAACATTCATATATCAATTTCATATGTGTATTCGATACGTTCCATCGCTAGTTTTTAGGCAGCTGTCACTACAGCGGTGTGTATACATAGGCAAAGCCGAAAAGGATACACGGTTGAGAAAGGCCATGGTCCGGATATCACACAGTTATTCAGCCTGTTCGCTTGATGGTTTCAGCTAGGGCTTATCAGCCAGCCAACAGTGTTTTCCTCTCACAACAAACCAGCACCAGCCGAGCTTATCAGCACAGAAACTAACCAGCGAACAGGCTCATTAACTGGGTTGGACCACATACAGATACGCGTCTCCGTGTTTCCACACCTAAAGGCCATGAACCAGTGTTCCAACTTTTGGCAAAATTTCATGAATTCCGATGGTGGCTAATAAAAATTCTAACATTTCATATTATACATGCAATACAAATGTAGACTCATATTTTCTGTCTTATATTGCATATTCTTTTACTCAATACATGTGGTCTTAAACCGTGCTAATATTTTATTTAGATCTAGAAATTTCTAGGAAAAAACCGTACTTCATGTTTAACTCTCTAAAACGGCGAAACTTTGGCTGAATTCCAGTAATTTCGAAGGTGGTTGAAAGTTTTCTAATACCGAAATTAAAAACCAACAAAATGTCCACTACTCAGAGAGCATCCGTCCTAACTCGACAGGGTCGGCATCTCATCATCTACAGAGTGGAAGGCAGCCGAATAATGGCCCACCTGAACCATCACTTTTCAGCTGTTATGTACACATATGTAGTGTCTATATCCATAAAAAGTATATTATGTTACCTTAGTATTTATATATTGGAGTATAGATAGATTATTAATGAGAGGCTAATAGAGATGCTCTTAGTCGAGTCAAGTCTGTCGCTTGAAACATCTACCACCATTAGAGCCCACTAGTTCATCGTGATCGTTTGTAGGTATGGAAAATGACAAAACATCTACCACCATTAGAGCCCACTAGTCCTGTTCACTTGGCTGATAAGTCATGGCTGAAAGTACTGTTGGCTGATTTATTGTGAGAGAAAAGTATTGTTCGTTGGCTGAAAAAGCACGGCTTATATGCCAAACGAACAGGGCGTAAGTGCCCCATTGCTTCTCAGAATTTTGTGGGTCATTACGTTAGGCATGACTCTCTAGTGGCTTTCACTTTGTCTGAAAACATATCAATGGCCTTCAATTCAAGGTAGAAAATTAGTACATTTTTCACTCTAATCCATATGGACTGAGAGGATCAGTTTATGAAAAGGATGCCTAAACAGAGAGCGGGCACCTACCATGATGCACTCATGACTCTGAAATCTAAATTTAGAACAAAGTTCATAACTTCATATCCACTGACAACTGAAATGTGCCCGTGCTTAGCATTGGATTTGCAGAGTAGTGCTTTAAACATTTGGTTACACTATACCACGGCCCAATTACTAGGGTCACGCTTGCAGGCACTGCAGTGTGGTCAGAGCCATAACTTGGATCGGATCATGTTAGGTGATCCAGTGACTTAAGGAAAACCCTGCTAGCAAATCAAGGCAAAGCACCAACAACACTGAATTGGTAGTAGGATTGTCTGGTAACGTGAGGATGAGGCCCAAGCGCGGTGACCATGCTGGCTACCTCGATGCTTGCCGTGTTAAAAGTCATCATTGACCCAAGCTGCTGACAGCAGTTCTTGGCCATATTTACGCAAGCACTGCCCTGGCCCACCGAAGAAAATCCTTTGAGGCCCAACAATTCCTGCGCCAAGCCGTCAGTCAATGCTACTTACTCCGTCCTCGACTCCTCGCCGCATACGCTGCTGAGTGCCGCACTTTGCTGTTGATAGGTCGCCGCAGGGTCGGTAGTCGCCAGTCAGTAGAGCAAGCGGAACAGGCTGAGTGCCAGAGCGGGGCCTGCTCCACTGCTCCCCTCGGGCTCGGGATCTCCTCCTCTCCCCTCCATGGCTACCAGCACGAGTACCCGGTTGAGGTGTCCCCCGTGGCCTTGGCTACTGTTGTCTCCTTGAATTGGTGGGCTCCCTTGCGCCATGGTCATTTTCAGTGGAATGTATTGCTTCATGTATGTAATACCGATAGTTGGTACAAAATATTCAAAATATAGCTACTGATGATCCACGCGCGCTCACACTTGCAGAAGTTTTAAAAGTCTAAAATGTGACAAGCTAGTAATTCAGATTTTCCATATGCAGATCAGTTGCATCTGTAGGGTAGACTTGTACATACTTTCATATCTGCAAATGCGACTTTGAAGTTCTGTGTTGAATACACGTGATGGCCGTGCTATTGATAATGTCATGAAAGGACAACGAAGTTGGTACTGTCATGGAAGGACATTGAAGGGAAGAGTGAGTTTGCCATATCTTTCTGTTCTCATATATGAGTGTCAATTCACATTAGTCTGATGCCTACTGGAATCATGTGCTAGCCTGATTATGACAAAAAGTGCAGCAACGTGTTGTAGTTGAAATCATGTATTAGTCTGATGGCTACCGGAGCCACTGATTGAGCCATTGGCAATTGATATCAAATTATCAATAGACTTGTTGACAACCACAACTATGTTCTTATAGAACCTTATCTTTAATACAGGGACCTGATGATATACCCTATATGCATCTACAGAAAATATAGAAGGGATACAAGCCATCATATAGAAGGATACAAGCCATCTGGTCTACAGTACATTGTGCATATTACACATAAAAAGAATCTGTGTGACACAATCTCATCCAAAGATAGCAAATTAAATGTAACTTCTAAATATATGATATCTCAGATGCAGCAGTATATAAGCAAACCCTCTATAACCTTAGCATAATGTAGTTAGCGTCGCCTAAACGAATATACAAATTCTTGTTCCAAACTGTAGCATCTCGAGGTCTCTTGAAGTGGTATATGTGCAGCATTAATAAGATCGATATGTTTAAGTGAGTTCTTAGATTTTCCACATAGCAAGGGCTCAATATCTCCATCTTTTTCGGGTAAATGATGTCTTTTTCTCGGCCTCATTGTTCTTAAGGATTGCAACCTCATCTCCACTTCTTTCATAGACGGTCGCTCTCCTCCTTTTACCCTTAAGCATGCTTCTGCAAGTAAGGCAATTTCACTAATCTCTTCCTGTTCTGCTTCTTCCACAACTTGAGTATCCATTATTTCAATAAGAAACCCTTGGTGAAGTCCTTCAATGAATAAATGGGACAAACTTTGCTTTGCACCTAAATCATTAATAAAAATTGGCTTCTTTCTTGTCAAGAGTTCCACAAGTATTACTCCAAAACTGTATACATCACTCTTCTCCGTTAGTTGACCGGTATGATAATACTCTAGATCCAAGTAACCGAATGTTCCTTGAACAATTGTCACCACATGGGTCTCATCAAGTGAAAGAGATCTTGAAGCACTAAAATCTGAAACCTTTGTGGTGAAGTTGTCATCCAAGAGTATATTTGAAGACTTGACATCTATGTGAAAAATTAGTATTGTAGCTACTGAGTGTAGATAAGCCAGAGCCCCAGATGCTTCCACTGCAATCCTCAGGCGATCATCCCATGAAAGCAAGCATTTTATTGTAGTATCCGTGTGAAGAAGTTCATACAGAGTGCCATTTGAAATGAACTCATAGACAAGCAAGGGAACTTCATCTTCTAGGTAGCAACCAAACAGTTTCACCACATTACGATGGATGATTTGGGACAAAATGACAACTTCATTGATAAATTGGTCTATCTCTGTTTGCTCCACTATTTTGGATTTTTTTATGGCCACCACACGTTGGTCTGATAGAATCCCTTTATAAACTGTTCCATGTCCTCCACGACCAAGAACACGAGTAGCATCAAAGTTGTTAGTCGCCTCCTCTAGTTCCTCCAATGAGAATATCTTTGTTTTGCTAGCAGTGCTTTCATTTGAGATCAGTTGCTCCAATAGCAAACCTTGATTTTTCTTGAAGTATGCTCGCCGAAGTCTCTTTTGGATGCCTTTCTTCCACTTATTGGCAAGTAGAATTACACCCAATCCAATAAATATGGAGCCAAGGCCACAAACAGTTCCAATTGCAATACCTATATGCATTTGTTGTTGTTATGAAATCATGTTAACGTTTACAAATTATAATTTCAAGGGAGTTTTGTGTGCTATGGCTTACCTAAAAGAAGATTTCGTTGCTTAGCTGATGTAACACAACGCCGCTTGATGAAATCAAATTCTTGGGTATGAGAGCACGGTGTGCACATATAGCTTCCAGGAATGTTTTGACATGTACCGTTGCAGTAGTTTGGCAGTGAGCATTCATCAATATCTGTAGACAGTCAATTCTCGTTATTTATATATGTTGATCATCATAATCTTGCATACTTGCATACCAAGCCGTTGAAAAGGAATCTTCTGTCTAAATCTGCCTAGTCGGATTTAACTACAAATTACAAATTTTTTAGAGTATGTGAATTTGTTAATTTTCTTTCCATTTTAGGGTGTGAACTATGTTATGTTGTAGCACATAGTGAAGGAGGAAAGGTATGTACCTGTGCAGCTGTCTTGTATGTATGGATTTCCTGTGTAGCCAGTAGAACACTTGCAACGATATCCCATAAATGTTTTCCCATGGATCACGTTTTTGCAATCACTGTTTCCACTGCGGCATGCATACTTACTTCTATTCCCATGCATAGCTTGTTCAATAACTGCGCATCGTATAACAATGTCATATTCCATAGAAAAATCAAATTCGTCTTCCACAGGGCCGTCCATGTACACGGCTCCACTTTCGGTGACCTGAGCTATTATTACTTCTTTCCCGGAGCTAGCATTGTTTAGCATATTGCTAACCGTCAGAGTCCCGTCTTCTATTGACAGACCAGTCACGTGATACTGTGTATGTGCTGTGCGAAAAAGCGTCTCATTTGTGTCTGTACAGTTAAGTAGGAACCTTTCGTTTCCGAAACAATCTTCTTCAAGCCCGAAAGGTAAGGGAATGGACATGTTCCCACATGACCTCTGGCAGTGTTCTTTAGGCTTGGGGTTGTAATCTGCTTCATAACAATAGATTGATAAGAGTAAGAACAAGAAGATAAAATGTTAAATATTTTCTTTTTTTTAGAGAAAAGCAAGCAGGGAGCACCTTGCATGCATCCTTCGGAAAGGTAAGCATTGGCTGTGGAATAACCATTGTAGCAGTGGCAGCTGTAACCTCCATGTGATGCATTTCTACAAATGCTGTCGGTGCCACCACAAGCATAGCTTGCCTTGTTCATCTGCGCGATTTTGCAGCTTGGTTGGTCCATGATGGCAACCTCAAGTGCAGCGTCATCAATCTTGCTTGCATTTGTCCAACTTGAGAAAAGACCAGTCGCATTTTCCATGTAATAATCTCCAATCGACATGAAAGCCATGATGCCAGGGTGCAGAGGATCTGACTGTCCTGCCATATTACCAGCCCGAACAATTGTTCCTTGAAAGCCTGAGATGTCGTTTTGTAGACCGATGGAACAGCAACCAACCCCAAAGCAAGGCCCTTGATTCGGCAATACCTTGCCGTGGCACCTGCTCATGCAGGGAGCCGATAGGGTTTCTCACAGAGTCAAACAAGTCAACATCAAAATCGCAGCCAAGGAAGAAGAAAGTGATATAATCGGGGATAGTAATACCCTTGGCGGGGGCATCCCAAGATATATTGTAGGTGTTCGTACCAGATTCTTCCAAGCTACTGTTGAAGAACATAGCTGGGATGTATACCGAGGAACCATAACTAATGTCAATGCCAGTAATCTGAGTTGTGCTGTTACCCAGAAACAACTTTGGAGGTTGAGTGTTGTGGTTGCAAGTAAGCTCGAACTGGAAGCCTTGTCGGAAGCAGCCGGACCCTATGCCGAAGGGGTAGGAGATGTTGATGTCCCCGCAGCTGGAGGGGCAGCGACTAGCTATGGTGGCAGCGGACGGGACATACAGTATCCCTCCGTCATTCGCGGATGCAGGTGGCAAGGCCGGCAACGCCAAGCACGCCAGAGCGAACACCATGGCACAAACCATTACTCTACTCGAGCTCACCATTAAGCCAATCAGCTTGTCTGCGTGGTGTTTAGTGTCGGGATTATATTCTGGGTTACCGGAACTACTACTCATATTTAAAAGCTAAAGATTCTAACCCGCCATAATTCCACTGTCCCATCAGATGTTACGGTCGTCGCCCGCCCGCCGGCGCCGGGTCGTACGATCGCTAGCGGCTGGACTCTGGACTGTGAGTGCTGTGGTAGTTATGTGGCCATATATCACATTCATCATTCAGTGCGTGATTGAGAGTTTACCAGGGTAGACTTTGAATTGACACCTAGTCACGAGTCAATCAAAATACATTTTTGAAGTGCAATTCTTGCATATGTACTCTCTCCGACTCCGAGGCAAATCATAGTTTTTTTTAGCTTTGTTCTTTTTTTTCTATCTTTGACTGAGTTTTTAGAGAGCTATAGTAATATTTACATGTTCAAATAAATACACTACCAAGACATATTTTCATTGACAACTAATTTGATGTTGTAAATATTGATAACTTTTTCATAAACTTGATCAAAATCAGAGATGTACGACAACACTAAAATAAACTACAATTTGAAAAAGATGATAAGGCATACTCTTGGTGGGAGTTAGTTATATACCATCAAAATAAAAGGCCCACTTTGGTTTGTTTGCACATACTGCAGCTTCATATTCGAGTAGGTATGTAATATGTATTTGTAGACTAAATAAAGTGGGTTGTATATAAATATTCATACTTAGTGGTCTTTCCGTTCTAAATTGTAAGTCGTTTCGGCTTTTCTAGATATATAGCTTTTACTATACACCTAGATATACACTATGTCTACATATAAGTAAAAAGTATAAATCTAGAAAACCAAAACAACTTATAATTTAGAATAGAGGGAGTACAACTTACAAACCATTACTCTGCTCGAGCTCATCATTAAGTCAATCAGCTTGTCTGTGCGTGGTGTAAGGTGTCGGGATTATATTCTGGGCTACCGGAACTACTTCATATTTAAAAGCTATAGAGATACGGTTTCGTGCCTGCGCAGATACCGTATAAAGCCGTCACTAGCAAAGATTCTAATCCGCCATAAGCCCATAATCCTACTGTCCCATCAGATGTTACGGTCGTCGTCGCAGATACCGTATAAACGACTTACGCGCGATCGCTAGCGTTTGTACTGTGACCGTGAGTGGTCTGGTGATCATGTGGCCATATCACATTCAGTGACTGTGTGAGAGTTTACCAGGGTAGACTTTGAATTGCCACCTAGTCACGAGTCAATGAGAATACATTTTCGAAGTGCAATTCTTGCATAAGTACTCTCCGAGGTAAATCATAGTTTCTTAAGCTTTGTTTTTTTTTATCTTTGACTGAGTTTTTAGAGAGCTAGCTATATTAATATTTACATATTCAAATAAATACACTAACTAATTTGATATTGTAAATATTGATATTTTCTATAAAGTTGATCAAAATTACAGATGTAGGACAGGACTAAAATAAACTATAATTTGAAAAAGATGATAAGGCATACTCTTGGTGGGAGTTCGTTATGCACCATCAAAATAAAAAGGCCCACTTTGGTTTGTTTGCACATACTGCAGCTTCATATTTGAGTAGGTATGTAATATGTATTTGCAGACTAAATAAAGTGGGTTGTATATAAATATTCATACTTAGTGGTATTTCCGTTCTAAATTGTAAGTCGTTTCGGCTTTTCTAGATATATATAGCTTTTACTATACACCTAGATATACACTATGTCTACATATAAGTAAAAAGTATAAATCTAGAAAACCAAAACGACTTATAATTTAGAACAGAGGAAGTACAAATTATAAAGAGTGTCTATCCAACAACCATGTGTTTCAGCCAAAGCTAGCTCATGGTTGTTGACTGCCTAAAAAACACATGAATTACAACACAGAAAAAATCATGTATTTTAGGAGAAGCTAGCACACAAATTCTGTCAGAGAAAAAAAGCCCACGCAGCTTATGCTTCATGGTTCCCTGGTTCCTCACTGTGAACAAGCAGATCCAGCATATATTATGCGAGATAAGAGGATCACGTAGCTAGAACAATCACACACACACATACTGAAAACACATTTTTATTGGACAATTTCAATAAGTACTTTTGCAGCCACAGCATGTATATATGTTCTGCATTTCCTGTATTCCTCTTCTAAATGAATTACCAAATCTGAAAGATAAAATTGTAGATTTCAAATAGTGCAACTAGTATTTTTAGTGTGGGGTTATGAATGCAAGACATTTCTCATTTCAGGGCAAACTAACTGACTGCAGACTAACAAATACTGACCTTATTGTTGAAGTTCCATCTGCCATTTTGTGTAAAAATGTCTTCACCATTCCCAGCTTTAAGTTAAAAAAAGACAGTTATAAGGTTTACGCCTTCAAAATTTCATGACAATTATCACAGGCTGACAGGCCTTCAGAAAATGATTGCAATTTTTGTAATGGTGACAAGAGAGATAAACAAGGATTGCAGGTATTGACACATTGAAAACTACCTACGTGTCAGTGTCCTAAGAACAATGCATTCCAAACTAACAAGAAATGGACAGGCATCTTACTCTGTTATCATTGCCACCTGATGCAAGCTGACGATTGTTATAAGACCACTTGAGTCCACAAACCTAGAAAATATGTGAGATTAGGGACCATACGTTACCAGAAAAGAAAATTGAAGCTTCAGTAGGATAATGTTTATACTTGAGAATGGGACATAACCTGAACTTTTCTTTGATTTGTACCTACAGATAGGTGAGTGCCACACTGTGCCCAACCCATAGAACAAACATTGTCATCCACCCCCAAATCACAAAGCTTGGTGACCTAGACAATGATAAACCTGTTAACAATCCATCTTCAATTCTCAGTGACGATATACCTTAAGGATGACCAGGTTGCTTACCTTGCTGCTGCATGCATTCCACAAAATAAACACAATTGCCCAGCCCAAACAGCGAAGGCTTCATGAGTTCCTGCTGCTGCTATCTGAAAACCAAGGAATGCTATAAGTTAATTGCTTACTGCTGCTACTGAACTTAATAGGAACAACTAGATCCTGCACAGACAGAAACACAAATGACAAAAATAAGATGTGTGTTGGCACATCTTTGTTCGTCTCTTACAAAGAACTCTGGTTAGTTTACATACTACAAGCAGTCAATATTGGTTATCACTCATCAGAGAGTGGGTGGGCGGTTGGGGAAGAAGAGAGCCGGACAGTGATCTAGGTCCAGGCAATGGCAAAAATCACAAAGAACATAAATACAAGGACAAAAATGTGGTCTATATTGGCACAAATATAGACAGAGAGGCTGAGAAAGAGAGTGTGGTGTTCTAACTGCATCAACACACAACTGTCAGCCCACTATGCCTTTGTTACTGCATGTAGTTACCACAAATCACAATCAACAGAATTCAAGATGTGTTAGCACAAATCACAAGTGGCAATTTTTTTCTATCAAAGGACAAGGACAAAATAAAAGGTGTGTGCTAGCATAAATCACAATTAACAAAATTCAAAATGTGTTACCACAAATCACAAGAGACAATTTTTTTTTCTATGAAAGAACAAGGACAAAATAAGAGGTGTGTGCTAGCACAAATCACAATAAACAAAGTTTAAGATGTGTTACCACAAATCACAAGAGACAATGCTATGAATCAAGAACATAAATCAAGACTATGCTATGAATCAAGAACATGCAACATTTTATAAAAAAGGCAGAGGGTAAAAGGCCATTTTTCAACCCCCATAACTCCTGGTTTCAGGAAAGCAAAAGAAAATCAAGTGGATCCTGTATCATGCCAAAACATATGCTCTTAAGAATCTCAAGAGGACTGTCCCACATGTACACAAAAAATTGTTAAATTCCTAATGCGGTCAGATCTTGCTAAGAGTGTCATATAGTGATAATGAATGATACTAACTCCAGTCGTATACAGTTGACATTACAGACGAAAAAAAGCTCAAACGAACTTGGTTTCCCTGTCTGAGCATCAAGTACAAACGACTGGAGGGAATATAAGCCATAAGAGTAGACCTCAAGTGACTGGAGGGAGTATAAGGCACAAGGGTGAAGACCTCAAAACAAAGGTTAACGCAGACATACTTAATATTACTAACCCGTTCATATACTTTGCACTTAAAACGGATGAAAACAAGTTTATACAATGTTCTAAAGGAGTTCATTTAAAAGGTACAACTGATCCCAACAGAACATGCCCAAAAAGGACAAGGACAAAAATATCATGAAACCAGCTGATATGTACACTACCTTTCGGCTACCAGCGAGTGTCAAAGCAAGCAAAACCAGCATTTTCACTACAGTTAAGGAAATAATTGTTGTATCAAGCCAAATTAGATCTATTCCTTAAAGAGAAGACTTGTATTAAAATAGAAATGAGATGCACTCCTTAAAAATGTACTGTCTAGGGCTTACACTAAAACAAAAGACCCGTTTCCAGTCCCAAATAGCCCATCCAGAAGAATATCGATGCCCTAAAGCAAGAACAATTGCATGCTCCAAGTTAACTAAAATAGTGACAAAGTTATTTATAAAGAACAGATATTGCACATGTTACGCACCATAATTGCAGTAGTTGAAGTGTGCAATTTACTACTAATAAATGTGCAATCAAGAAAATGGTGCTTCTAAATAAAGTAATAGAATAAAACCATAGTTCAGTAGAATTCTAATGCAGTTTGTAGTAGAAATTCATCATTCTCCATGGCTACATGCAGGTCAAAAAATTGTCCAGCTCAAAAAACTTATGATGTACATGAAACTACAGTCTATATATCATCAGCAAGCACACTGGTTCATCAATAGAAAGCCAAAGTGCCCATGAACAAAATGGAGCCCAAACTTTACACCCCTGGGACTCACCCAAGAGCACACGCATGCTGCACAGCACAAGAATAGATCACACACGAGAGCCCAACTCTAAGCACTACAGCAGAAACAACAACGCAAAAAGACGGGCATAGGAT